GCACTACTTGTCTCTGACGGACCCCAGCGCCTACTGCGTCATCCTCTGGGCCCATGGATCGATCCTCTCGACAACTGGAACTGGTTATGGTCTTCTACCCACGGATTGTTCCACCGCCAGGGCCACGCGTGGCAACACTACCGTCACCGTCGCTCCTCCACACGGAGCATTCAATGGGACTATCCCCGTTCTACGCAATTGTCCGGGTGCAAACGACCACATAACGAGCATACCGACAACAGCGTCAGCTTCTTGCCAGCCCCCTTTTGGACCCAACCACTCCCAGCTGACTTGTGCCGAGCTACCGTCCACATTACGCCTTCGCTAGGCACTCTAGCTCTCACCGGCATTGGGACAGCACCGCTGCAGCCGCCTCACGACTCTCAACCGTCCTTGCTGGCCGCCTGGATGGCCGCCTCAGCCAGGGTGACCGAGTATGTTGGCTGGACCCCTGAAGAAATTGAGATCGATGGCAACGAAAGCCTCCTTGCTGCAGCCCTACTCAAAGACCGGCTGTGTGTGATCAGCGACGGTTCTTAAAAGCTCGGTCTGGGCACGGCAGCGGTTCAACTGCTTCCACGTAAGGGTGGCACGGAACGTATTTTTGTTTGGTGCCAGACTCCAGGTCTAACTGATGACCAGAGCGCGTACCGGAGTGAATTAATTGGCCTACTGGCCGGTATCATGGTTGTTGATTGGCTCCTGGACCAGTGGGCCCCAACACTTCGATCACCACCCTGCGTTAGGATTGCGTGCGATGGATTTTCGGTGTTGCTCAACACCTTTGATGACAATCGAGTCACACCGCAACAAGCCCAGTTTGACCTGGTCTCCTCTATCCGGGAGGCACTTGCCCGCTCTAGGGCCTTGTGGGAACCTAGCCACGTGTACTGTCACCTTGATATGGCGACATCCTTTTCGTGCCTCTCTTGGTGGTCCAAACGGAATGTGGAAGTGGATGCGTGGGTGGTTGCCTATCGCCACCAGCTTGAAGCTTCACACCGATTGATTGCACCTAACGCTCGTTTCTTTACGGAATTGGCTGCCCTCTACATCTGGGACGTCAAACAGTTGCGATTGAATCCAGAACAGGTCCAGGAACTGGTGGCGCTGCCTGCTCTACGCAAGCGATGGCACGAGCGGCAGACAATTACACAAGACGCAGAGCTGGAGACCGATTGGACCAGTGACAGAATTGTATCAAGAACGGGTTCGTGATTCGGACCTATACGATTCGATTATCAGCGGTCTTATGGGTCCTATAGTAATTAGTAGTAAAATAGATATATGACGTGTCATCGGATGAGAGCGTTGAGAGCCACACATCAACGCTCGTCAATTCCCGATCGACTCATCGCGTCGTG